TGTTTTTCAAACACCTTTAGTGGGCCACGCCTTATCTGTGTTATCCGACAGCACTAACACTTTTCATGTGAGTGAGAGTAATATGAAGTTACGGCTGTTATCTAGCCCATGGGTTGTATGGCTGTCGTATGCCCTTAGGTACTGCAGTGCAGGCCAGGAACAATGCAAAGGAACTAGAATATTTATGACACAAAAAAAGAACAGCTGAAAGGTTCAGAGAAAATACACCCCTTTACCATAGCAGCTTTCTCAATGGATCAGTATTCTAAAGGTAAGTAGGAAGTCTGCTTTTTATCCAAACCCAGACACAAGCACTGCACAAAAAAAAAAAAAGAAAAAAGAGCTGTTCTAATAGCTCTCCCCCTCCAAACCCTCAAAAAACTTTTGAACTGGCTTTACCAGAGCAATCAAGAAAGTAATAAATATAAAGTAATTTGTTTTGCAAATGTTGTGAAGTCACCAGTTGAAGTCATCTGATACAGTATTTTGTAAATCATGACCAAAAGTGATGCTCCGGAAACATTTTTGAGGAACAATGCCAAAGACAACTTTGCTGCTCTGATTTTGCTTTGCCTTGCTTATAGTGTAATACATTTAAGAGCTTAAATAACCTCAGTCACATGCTAGCAAATCACAATATCAGTGTTCTCTAACTGCAATTTTTAAGAAAATTATGTTTGTTTCTTTGTTTTTCATCCTTAAAGGATGAATTTCATTTTTTTTTCTACTCAGGAGGAGATTTTTTAAAACGCCTTCAAGATTATCACTTCATCAGAAAATTCCAGAAGCTATAGCTTTCAGGAAGAGACCATTTTAAAAGAATCAGACAAACATTTTGTTAGTTTGTGAACACAAAAAACAAGGTCCTCAGCTTTCATAATGTTTAAAAGAATCCCAGTAGGCCAGCTGGGGACTTCTGTGGTAAAGATGTTGTAAAATACATGCTGTAACGTTCCAGCGATCTGCTTACTGCTTACAGCTGCCCTCTGGGAACCACTCGCTGTGTTCAGTTAAGTTAAATCTTCATAAAAGCTAACGGGACAGAGTGCTTGCAAATACTTTGTCCATTCAGAGGAGGAGAAAAAAAAAAGAGAGATGTAACAATTAACATAGATTTTTCAAGTCTAAATCACATTGGATAACCCAATTGCCTTCTTTACAGGTAGCAGACCTTACGGGTGAGAGACAAATTACATCTTTAGATGCCAATAATCACATCATTTGTATATATACAGAACGGCTGCCAGACTGAACACGGCTTTAGCCAGAGAACACTTCTCGTTGGTTTTCAGTCAAAACAAGACGGGTGAATCACAGAGCTTGGAGGTGGTATGTGGTATTTGCCTAATGGCCTGGGACGATGGAATAAACAGCCTCCTTATGAAAACTGGAAATGACGCAAAGCTGTGAGAGACTACGGGCACACTTATCGTTAGGATGACTCTAAGAAATTGGAGACAGGATCTGAAAAACAGTATGGTATTCGGTGAGGAAATGCGAAGTTGTGCTGTTTTGTTGCACAGAACAGCTAGCTAAGCGTCAGCTTAGGGAAAGGGATTTGGGTTACGACAGGTCACATTCTGTAATTTGTAACTCCCTCACGTAACCACCCCCGCAAACCCGGAACCCCTAATCCTACAGGAGCGTATAAACAGGAGTCCTGGCAACACGGGACCCGAGGCAGCGTGACCGCTGGTGAACCTCAGCTGGGCCGGGCCCGTGGGGAGGAGGGGGCCGAGCGGGCAGATCCTTAGACCCGGTGGAGATAAGCTGCCTGCAATCTGCCTGCCCTCGGGCCGGCAGCAGTGGTTGCAGTGAGGGGGATTAGAAGGAGGTGAAAGTTAATTCCCTTTGCGCGATGTCCCCGCTCCTGTTGGCCGGGTACGGGTTGCTGTGAGTCACTGAGAAGTGGAAGATGTCGGTTAAGGGTAACGTTATGCCTGTGGTGGAGAGCTTGTTGCCTTGCCTGAAGGGAAACGCGGGAGACGACGTGACTGATGATATTCACGGTGCTAACGCCCGTCAGTCAGCATGCGCAGCCAAATCCTGTACAACCCTAGCCACATTTTTGTCACATGTAACATCTGCTTGTTCTTAACATTAAAACTTTTTCACAGCCAAGATACAAGCAGGCAACGCGAAGCCCTTTGCATAAGAAGGGCATATAATTCATTGTAACTTACGACTTCAGCTAAAGTACTTCTATGTTGTAAGTGAAGCTATGTTGTAAGTAAATAATCAGCTCATCACCACATTATCCTTAATTCATCCTAGTTAAACGTACGCGCATGGTGCAAGAGCCAACAGCTGCCAAAGGTAAAAAGCTGTAAAGGCAGCTCAACGAGAATGAGAACGCTTCCTCTCACAAACGATTTCCCCCACTTTGTGAGAGGAAGCTTTATGAGTACAGCCCACTGCAGCGCCAGCTGACAACCTGGAAGACGGCCTCGGATACCGCGTACTGTTTCCCAGGGACAAGCTGCACGGTAGCAAAGCAACCTGGAGCGTTTACGTTCTGCAGCCTCGCCTGGGGGTCGAGATCACTTTATTCACATTATTTCAGTGAAGCACTTATGCAGGCACCTCAGGTAGGCTACAGAGATTATTTTAACGACTGGATGAGGGTCATCTACCGTGGAGCTAAGGACGGCGCGACCGACAACTGGGTTTATCAATCGCAAAGCCTGAGCAGCTGACACCTGACCAGCCAGGCTCTTCGGTAACTTGCGTCACAGCCTGCCCACCGGGGAAGACGCTGCCCGTCCCTGAACGGCTTCCTCCAGCGCGTGAAAGGTCAAGCTATGAACGGAGTTATTTCAAAGCCCCGAAGTAACGGACGCCGGTGAGGAGAGCCAACGACCCCGCGCAGCTCCCGCCGCCTCAGAGCGGTTACCGGCTGCTGCGCA